TGTCAGGAAGAGCTTAAATTTTCATCACTGTCACTATACCTGACATTTTGCCTCTTCTCCTCCCATTTGTTAAATCTGTTGTGGGCTAGACAGCCAGACAGCAAACTTGCAGTTTTTGTGTCAGATAAAGCTTTGGGTTTTTTTTTTTGTCAAATTATGCATTATTGAAACCTTTCTCTTTGTAGCTCTTAACTGGCTGTGCACTCCACAGCACCACTGTCAAGGTCACCTATGATGTGATGGCCAGTGGTAGCCATCAACATTGCAGTCCGAAGGCTGAGAGATGCCCAAGATCTCTTGAAGTGCCAGAGAGTCCTTTAGCTAAAGATCAGTGCTTCTGTCTATGTCTTGGTGGTTCCTTGAGGGTTTTCATAATGAGAGCAGAGGCTGACAGTACTACCTCAATCTGGGCTTGTTCTTAATAGCAGTTTCCTAAGACCCTTCCTATCCCCAGGTGCCTTGGCGATGTCACCAACAACTTTTTTTGAGACATACCAAAGTGGCCAATCTTAGGGGCCAGGGCAGATGTGGCACCAACTCCCCCACTGGTGCATCTCAGATACACGACTTTGACATCACTGGGGGTGGAGGAGGCAGCTAATGTCGGATGAATGTGGATACGGGACAATAGAAGAAATTGCATTTAGGCTTCCTCCAAGTCAAGTCAAAAGTGCAGAGTAAGGACTTAGGGCCAGGACAGTGAGTAAAGTTCACTGGATTTCTGGCATGATTTCAAGAGCTCAGAGACCATCTGGAACTGTAGGAGCAAACGTGAAGATAAATAGACAGCAGCTGGATCTGTGGATAGGTGGAATATCACTGTCATTTGTATTTGCATTGAAAAGCTGCTTCCAGAACAGACTGTACTCATGTTTTTAGGTCTCACTATATTTATGCAATCTATCATCATTTCTCATTTAAACTTTGGATTAAAAAGTGGGAAAATCTCTCTCTTTTCCTTACTGGATTCCTATAACGCTTAAATTTCTTTTCCTCGAGGTGTCATGTAATTCTTAAAAATGTTTTTTTATTCTTTATCCTTTGTTCCTCTCTTTTTCTGGCTCTTTTTTATATTTGTATCTTCAAGAGTAACTCCATTCCATCTATTTTATTTTCATGGTTTTTCCCAGAATTTTTAAGTTCCTCTGTTGATCTTTTAACATCCTGCAGTCCTTTGTTTTTTATTTAAAGATTCTATCTCATTCTTCTGTTCATCTATTATGTTTCTCATAGCATTCTGTTCTGTTCCTCCTTCTTTTAGTTTATTTATTTATTTATTTACTTACTTACTTATTCATACAGAACTGGGGTACAGGCCAGAGATGCGGAGGGTGAGAGGATTCACCAGAGGCAGAGTCGGGAGCAGAACAGGCAGATCAACGAAGTACACTGCTGAGGAGAGCAGCGGGTGGGTTAGGAGAGGTCTGCTGCGCCATGTGGATCTCCTCCAGGCCAGGCGGGGATCGAACTCATGTGGAAGTGGCTTAAGCTTCTCAAGGCAGTGCAGTGCTTTAACCCGCTGTGCCACCAGGGAGGGCCCTCCTTCTTTTAGTTTTTAATTAAGGAGATTCTGTTTCTTTATCTGTCAAGCAGAGAAATTCTTCTATGTCAGTGTCATTGGTTCTGGAAGCTGCTTTTCTTTCTGTGGTGCACTGTTCCCAGAAGGGCTTGTTTGATCAAGCTCTTTCTCTCCATTGCTTGCTTCTGTGTTTGTTCGAGGCGCAGGGCCCTGAGGCCACTGGTGCTCTTGGGAATGACTTCTGTGCACTTTCACCAGGATGTCTAGGGGTCTGCCTGGAGCTTGGGCCACTGTGGGTGAAGATGGGGGCGGGTGCTCTAGCTGCTCTCCCCTCAGCTTCCACCAACCAAACCACTTCTGATGGTTGGTGGGATTTCTGGGTGTTCCTAGCAGGTGTGGATGGATGTGCACGCTGCCTAGTCACTGTAGCAGCGAGTGGGTTTTGCAAATGTCCTAAATTAAACAAATGGATCAAAATGTTGGATATTCATACAATGGAATATTACTCAGTGATAAAAAAAAGACAAGCTCATGCCATTTGTAGCAACATGGATGGAACTGGAATAGATTATACTAGCCAAAATATGTCAGAAGGAAAAAGATAAATACCAGATGGTCTCACTTATATGTGGACTATAGAGAAAGCAAATAAGAAGTCAAGAGAAAGTCAAAACTAGCACACTGACCATAAAGCTGAGGCCTACAGCAAAGGAGGAGGGGAGAGGGATGAAAAGGGGGAGGGAAAAGCACAAAGGAATACGTGATGGTTCAGAGGTGATAGGGTTGTGGAGGAACTGTGGGGACTACAACGATGTCAAGTCACTTTGCTGCAGGCAATAAATGTCCTTAGAGGCAAGCTCACCAAATCATTCTCCCTTCTCAGACACCATAAACCACACTGTTTTCAGTTTTATAAAGTGGAACCTCTCTGTCATCAATGGTCTTCTTTCAGTTTCCCCTTTTAAATGAGGCAGCTTCAAGATTCTGGAGTAGGTGATTCATTCTAAGATGCATTTTTCCTGCTCCTCTCTCAAGCCTGCTAAAATTATAATGTATGGCTCTTTCAAATTTCTGCTTTCCAAACATGCCTCTTAGTTCTCTCTACCCAAATCCATCCCAGATAATGGTGCCTTACTCTTTTATTGTGGAGTTCTCAACCTCCGCTTCTGAATACAATCATTGGTTAAGTCAAAATTTTATTTCTTGCTTTCATGTGAATGCTATATTTTCACCTTTAGTTCTTTTTACAGCACCTCTTACCACCCACCTCCTCCTGCTCAATCTTCACATTAGAACCTTCCAGCTTTATAGGTTGCATATACTTTTGGCAACAGAATTAAAGAAACATGTTGAAATTCTCTGTTCTGTCTACTCCAGAGTCCTTCTCCTAATCACATCTTAACATGTTCAAGTACCTCTCAAGGAATTTTCTTTTCCAAATGCCTTCGAAGTGACTTTTCCCATTTAATTTTCTCGACTATTTTCCCTTTTATATGTTTCCCAGAACTCTAGAGAAATAACTGCCAAATTTTCTGTTGTGGCTGCTTCCCACATATCCTTTCTTCAAATTGTAATTGTCAACAGTAGCAGGAATAAATTATGAACACTGACACAGCATTGTTGCAAGTTAAATACATCCCGTTCCCCAAACTGCATTCCTTTGGTGTCCTCCCACCAGTCCATTCTTCTGCCTCTCCCATAGTTTTCTGGTTTAGCCAGTGTGATCCCTATTTCATGGTAAATAAACTCCCTTCTGCTTTCAACTCATTGAAAAAGCCTTTCCTCTGGAGGCCTGGGCTTCCCTTAAGGACACTGCTGGGCTCCTGGCGCTGCTGTTCTCTGGAAGGGAAGGAGACATTCCTGCACAGGACAGGTCAGGAGTGGGGAAGATTCTGCTCTCTCCTCAGAGCTATAGATAGACCAACACTTAGCACTCTTCTCCTCTGACTAGACTTCCTTCCCTTGGTCCTCCTGTCTCGGTCCTGTGGCCAACTCATTTAAAACAACTGCTTTCTACACCCTTGACCTCTTCATTTCCAATATTCTCTTTCAGTCACTTTAGCTGCCCACATGGTGGGCTCTCCCTTGTTCCCACTCATCCTCTAGACCTGCTCTCCATCCTGTTTCCTATGACCTTCACCCCAATTAGCCAACTCTCTGGTGGCAGAGAGCGTACCAATCCTTCAGTCCTCCCACTTCTCCCACTGGTTGGCCCATCCAGGCTTCTCCCTGCCAAGTCTGTGTTCTGTTAGATCTCTGGAATTGTCTTTTGCCAGCACTCTAAGCTACCTGCCAGGAAACCTTTGTTGGACCTGCTGATACTAACCTACTAGCTGGGCAGCCTCCTACTTACGCCATACATAGCCCATCCCTCTGCTTCTGTTCTGGAGGCTTGCTTAGACCTCATACAACCTCAACCGGGTCTCCTAGGTGCCAGCTCCACTTATCCACTGTTGGCTTGTCTGCTCTATTCCCTCCTAAGCGTCTTTCTGAATGAATGAAATGAAAACCCTGCATTTGTCTTATAAATACAAGATTAAAATTTTTGATATTTATATTATTTTATCCACAAAATAATCTCTTATGGGGTGGAAGCTCAAGAATATTGCAGTCAGCTTTTTTTAGATGAGGTTTATGGAGATCATGTGGTCTCTCAAGCTCTCACAGACTCCAAATAGCAGAACTGATTAGCCATTGTAATCATCTGAATACATTTTCTTTCACCCCAGCTAAGACATCTATGCTCTGCACAATTATTCAAAGGGTTAATTGTGGGGATGATATATTAATCATAAAGAGAGATAAAGGGGCACCACTGTGAAGGCAGGGGTCACCCCAGGATCAGTTTCTACATATGAGTGTCCCAGAAGCAAACATTCAGATTGCAACTGCTGGCTCAAAGAGAGAAATAAAGTCAATCAAAAGGCTGCAAAGAAACCAGGCCAGACAGGTTGCTTTGTGGCCTCTGTGCAGCCCCCCACAACTGAAACCCAGAAAACAAAGAGGATCATCACACTGCAAGAACGACTGAGCCCGGCAATGGTGAATCAGGGTAGAGAAAAAAAAATAGGAATTTGCTGTGGAGAACTCCTTTCACACATAGTCAGTACCACTAGAAGAGAAGACTGGTGTGTAACATACTCACCTCTGTACAAAATCAGAATAGAACAGACTGCTCTCCTCCTCATCCTGTACTAACTAGACATTTACATTATAATAAAGACCATATATAAAACTAGGCACAAATCCCAATGCATATACAGGTAACAATAACATTGAACAAAGATTCAAATTTTCAAAAACTTTTTTGAGATGTGTGTAAAAAACCAAAACATATCCCGCTACAAATCTTTGAGCTTTTTGGATAAAAATTGTTGTATCTATGTTTGTGCATATCCATAATAAAACTAATATTGTTATCTGTGCTAGAATTGTTCTCCCCCAACAAAAAATACAGATACTTTGCAAAATAATCATTTACCTTATAGAAGATCAAAAACAAATCATCCAATTTCCCATGCAAATCACCTGCAATGCAAATGAAAATCATTATTCAGTAGGAAATAAGAGATTGCTAATTTTTATATAATTTAAAAACAGAAATACTGCTGATCTACATCAAGCATTCTCAGAGCATTGGGTTTTTAGCTTATGGTGTATTAATTAGGCAATTTATTTCCGTAGTACTCTTTTGCCTTCTTTTTTTATAAGGGACAGAATCTAATATTAGAAGTATCTGCTCATTCCTGCCACTTCTGCAGTGCGTGGCTCGCTCTGTGCCAAGCACTGCACTAAGGGTCTATGTGAATTCTTCAACCCTTACAACCACTTTATGAGGTGAGTATTATTTTCATCATTCTCATTTTACAAATGAGGCCCAGAGTAGCTGAGTTACTTATGTAAGGTTACTCAGCTGCTATCAGAGCTAGAATTCAAATCCAAACCACATTTCAACATTCAACACTTGGCAATTATTCTCCTCTGCCTACACAGTAATCTCTAGGAAGCAGCAGTATTTATCTAAGCATTAAACCCCCAGTGCTTCCTATAAAATCTGGTGCAAAGTGGAGACTCAATAAATACAGTTAATAGATAAATGTACAGTTTTTTAAAGAATTTGCTCCAGCAGAAGCATTTGAAAATTTAAGACTATGAGTAGATAGTTGGCATTCTTTTGATAAGAGAGTTGTAGAAAATAAAAGTGAAAGTATGACTTTATAAAATTCAGCCAACTGAGGGAAAGCATCTGAATATATGAAACCATTAATTAAAAAATAAAAGTGGGCCCTCCCTGGTGGCGCAGCGGGTTAAAGCACTGCACTGAGAAACTAAAGCCACTTCCGCATGAGTTCGATCCCCGCCTGCCCCGGAGGTGACCACATGGCGTGGCAGACCTCTTCTGACCCGCCCGCTGCTCCCCTCAGCAGTGTACTTCGTTGATCTGCCTGTTCTGCTCCCCACTCTGTCTCTGGTGAATCCTCTCACCCTCCGCATCTCTGGCCTGTACCCCAGTTCTGTATGAATAAATAAATAAATCTTTAAAAAAAAATAAAAAAAAAAAAGTGAATATGTGAACTTCCAAAATCATATTCAGATAAATCGATCTAGGTAGATACTTGCCCTTCAAAGGTTCTGACCACAAATTTTTATTCTTTGTATCTAAATTACCAAATAGAATTTAATTTAGAAATAATTTTCCTCAGTTTGTGTAAAATCCAAACAATGCCAAATAACCAAATATATGGACTGGAAGATTTCAATTGTAATGAAAATAAAATTTAAATCCCATTTATTAAAAGGACAACAATATTAAGAAGATATTAATGTTATTGTATACTTAAATCTCATTGCTTTTCATATAGTCTCATTCCAAATCTAAGGAGATAAAAATGGAAGGACTTTTCACTTATCAGTTAAATATATTTAAAAATTGTTTTACTCTCCTAATTTTCTTAGGATGATTGGTCTTTCAAATATTTGAGTAAATAAAACTGTTGCAGCTGGCATGCTAAAAAGTGAATTTGTTTCAACATATTAAAAATTGAGGCTATGAAAATATTTTAACTTCTAGTTGAACAGCAACAGAAAAATCTTAACGCATCATAGATGTTTCCACTGCAAACAAAAAGTTGATAATCAAGTAGTTGGTTATCATTTATGACAAATGTGGACAAAAATACCTCCTATATTTCAGGCATGTTGAGAATTACATACTTGTAAAAACTGTCTCTGCAAATTAAAATAATGCTTCACAATTCTCTCCCTTTCCTAATCATAATTTCTATCACTTTTCTAATACTGTCCCAAACAGAAAATGTTTTTGAAAATATGACTCCAATTTAAAATTTTATCTTAACTTATAACCAAATTGTTCTTTGTTCAATGGAGCTATAATAAAAACAGAAAATAGTCATTCCTGTGTTAAGGGAATGTACCTACTGGACTTAGCTTTTCCCTCTACCAAATGTACAAGATGCAAAAGTCTTGAAATAAATGCCCAAGATATAGGCATCTTTCGGTGAATAGAACTGGCCAATCAATCCATACCCTAGCTTTGTCTCATGATGGAAAATGAAGCATCAGCGAGGCGCATGATGGGAGCTGGGATAGCAGATCTAGAACTGGCTCTACCCTGGGATGCAGAGGACCCTGCCACTAACCAGCTGACTGAGCTGGGAGGGAGTAAAGAGTTCCTACACAGAAATGTCTCGGAGCAACACACTGAGCTCTCTGGGCCTCAATTTCATTGGTAAGAGCAAGCAATAGACTATATGGTCTCTGCGAGAAACTTGCAGTTCTTACACTGTTTGAATCTAGGATTTCCATGCCCTCCAATTACTTCATGTCTTTTCCCATGTCATTTTAGCCAAAGATAAGTCTACAATGGCAAATGGAAGTATCCTGAAAACATGGGGAAGAGGTCCCTTTCTCTGTTTGACCCATTATATACACATCTAGTCCTGGCTCCACAGGCTCCACAGGTTGGCAGGGGGCCCAAAATTCTTTATCTGTGTCCATGAAAAATAAGAGCTACTAAGGCCTTGAATAAAAGGCTCCAGATGCTGTTATCCATCATCTGCTAGGCAGAGAAGTGATGACCTGACTAGGTTGGAACTGAACCATTAAAGACTCTTCAAAAGCCCGAGTCAGGGCCTATCACGGAGCATGCACTGCTACATCAAGTCCCCATCACCACTAGCAGATGCAAGAAATGGAAATGGTTTAATTAAATCATCAAATCCACTTCAACTTACTAGAGTAAGAGAAACACTGGTTAAAAACTGATTTGAAAAATAACAATCACTGGTTTGTAACCTAAGGGCTTAATTAGAAGTTAAGGGAATTGCTGTTCCTTCCACACACTCCATTCTCAGCAGTTGAGAGCATGCTGAGCACCAACTGTGTTGAATTTCGATGTGTACTGTTTCTTGAAGCAACATCCTGCCTTGCTGGCCTATATGATAACAAAATCTCAAATCTTGTTATTTAGAAGAACAAGGAACAGATTTCTGGGACATTCCTACTCTTCTAAAAGCTGCAGAGACTAGTTGGAGAAATCTAACACAGTAGCCAAGGGCAAGGGGACAGTTTAAGCTCCACCCTGCCTTGGGCTTTCTCTTCTAGGCATAAATGGCATTCAGGGTCCACCTAGAGAAAACAACGTGGAACTAAGACAATGAAATCGAGATGGAGGGCGAAGAAAGCTTATTCCACCCATGGGTGGTTTTCCGTATTAAAATGCTGCCTGCCTTTATAAAAAGCTATGAGTTCTTTAATTTCTCACATAATTAATTCCTGCCAGCTGGTATGCAAACAAAGACAAGATGGGGAACAGTATTATCATGATAGATACCGCTATATTAACACTTTTCCCGTAACACTGTCCAATTTGCACAGCTTTCAAGTTAGGCAAATGATGTAGAACCAAGAGGCTCCTAAATATTAATTTGGCAACTCTGCTCTGAAACTTACCACAGATTGTTATCTCTTTGGAGGGAGAAGTTTTTGTACGCGTGAAATTCGGCATTTGTTTCAGGGCTTTCCTGGTTTCAAATAACACCTCTAAGACATAATAAGCATGAAGTATCTATAAGAAAGAAACAGAAGAAATAGATACAATAAATTTGTAAGAAAGGTATAACTGCACAGAAAGCTCTAAAGTGGAGCATATGAAAACATTTCAGGTAGCTATATTTCAGGGTAATCTCTAAATTGCTCTCAAATAGATTATTTAGTGTAGTGCCTAACATGTGAGAAGCCCTCATTAAAGACTGATTTATTGAAAGAATAAATAAATGGTTCCTAGGACATCTATACTCTCATGTTCTTAATTGACATCACTTATAAACTCATTTTGGTCTTTAGAGCCCAAATCAAGTAACAGGAAAAAAGGATGCTTCCTTGCCTTATGGAAATATGCAGACTGAACAGTAATTTAAGAGAAGGGAGAGAAAGACTGCTGTGGAGGGCTGTTTTGCATTGATCTGGGATGGCCACACAACCCGAGTAGACCTCACAAGGCAGCCTGAGCAGCCCCAAAGAAGTCCGGAGGCAGATGTCCCAAGATGCTCATATTCCATGCACAGATATGAAACACACCAGCTGGACTAGTAGCTACTCTGACTATTCATCCCATGGTCCTTTCAACTACAGTGTCGATGACATTATCATGTTGGGCAGATTTACTTTTTTCTCACCTTGCCTTTTTCTTTGTTTTGTTTAAATTTATGTTTATTGTTTAAATATGATGTGTGTTCTCACTTTTTAAAGTATAAAGCATCCCAAATACATAAGCCAAAAAGTGACACACCGATAAAAATTTAACAGATGCCAACACTACTTTGTGGGTCCGGACTAGCTGTGTCTTGTTGTCCAGCAATGGCAGTCAGTAGCCACATGGAGCTACTGACTGCTTGAAATGGGTCTAGTCAAAGCTGAGATGTGTGGTAAGTAAAATACACACTAGATTTCAAAGACTTGGTATTAAAAAAAGTAAAATGTCTCATTAATAACTTTTAATATTTGCATATTAAATGGTAATAATTCTATGTTGAGCATGAAAAGTATACTATCAAAATTTACTTCACCTTTTTTACTTTTTTTAAATGTGACTATAGAAAACTGTAAATCATATAAGTAACTCAGCTATTTCTATTACAAAGCACTGGTTAGACTACCGAAGGCTGAGAGTGGGACCATGCCTACATATTGCTCAGATGTTGTGTGAGTATGGGATTACAGACAGGGGAATCGCTTTGGACCCCTCCTACCTTGAGGTGTCCTGAAATTTCCATTTTCATAGCTATTAAAATAATAAAATAATTTTCTATACCAGACCCCACCCCCAAAAAACGTGATTTAATTTTCAAGAACTTTCATGATGAAATATCTTTTTAAAAAGACAAGAAGCAGGATTTGAAGCAATGAGAGAACTGGGAGGAAAGGGAAGGGCCCTAGCTCTTCCTTAGTGGAGAGAGGGCCATATTTCCTGTTTATCCACGACCTGACTGACTGCTAAGTAGTTCTCCCACAAATGCATTCTAAATCCAATCAACCCACAGCTCAAATCCACAAGCGAAATCTTGAGTGTGAACTTTTCTTTAGCTACATTTTAAAGGAACAGGAAAAACACTTATATAGTTGACTTTTTTTAATTTGTACATTTAATCTTTGATTCTCAATGTTGGCTTCAAAGTCACTTTAACTTGCTACTGTTGCTTTCCTGCTCCATTTACAGTACTAATAGAGTAATTGTTGCTTAAAAAGGCATTTTTCTTTGAAAGTTAAATTAACAAATGTTCACTGAGAATATATGATAACAACAGCAAATTCCTATTATTAAAATAGTTTTTCTGGCCCTCCCTGGTGGCGCAGCGGGTTAAAACACAGCACTGAGAATCTAAAGCCGCTTCCGCATGAGTTCGATTCCCGCCTGCCCCGGAGGTGACCACATGGAGCAGCAGACCTCTCCTGATCCGCCCGCTGCTCCCCTCAACAATGTACTTCGTCAATCTGCCTGTTCTGTTCCCCACTCTGTCTGTGGTGAAGCCTCTCGCCGCCCCTGAGCCTCTAGCCTGTACCCCAGTTCTGTATGCACAAATAAATAAATCTTAAAAAAAAAAAAGGTTTTTCTGTCAATAGCTTTTCTGAAAAGGTATGATCTTATAACTCTGAATCATATATAGTGTTATAAACCAATGTTAAATTGATTAAAAAAATAATTCTATAAAAAGAGAACATGAAAAGTTGCTGATAAAATAATAAAATAGTATTTCTGGATCCTTTTTCAACTGACTGAAATCACTTCAATAATATTAATGCTTGCTTATAATTCAATCTTTCAATAGCATTATATGTGTTTACCATTGTAGTATAAAATACTCAAGAGTTTAACTCAGATACTGGTTTGTCTGTTTGCAAATATATCCAGATTATGGCATTAATGGAAGAAAATGCTAGTTTAAAGGATATTTCTTTTTTAAACAGTAACTAGTTTTTAAATAGAAAAATAACTTACTGTATAGTTGAAATAAAAATTTAACTAATAAGGCCCTCCCTGGTGGCGCAGCGGGTTAAAGCACTGCACTGAGAAACTGAAGCCACTTCCGCATGATTTCGATTCCCGCCTGCCCCAGAGGTGACCACATGTCGCGGCAGACCTCTCCTGACCCACCCGCTGCTCCTCAGCAGTGTACTTTGATGATCTGCCTGTTCTGCTCCCCACTCTGTCGATGGTGAAGCCTCTCACCGCCCCTGAGCCTCTGGCCTGTATCCCAGTTCTGTATGTACAAATAAATACATCTTTAAAAAAAATTTAACTAATAAAAAGGGAATACAACAATGAAAAGTAATTTTTGTTCTTGCGCAGACCTCAGTCTCCCAACACCAATCCCCAGAAACAACCACTATTAAGAGTGCCTTGACTATCTTTTAAATAAATAATTTATGCATTTGCAAACACATACAACACAATAATATATGAATATGCAAACACATGTATACATATATAATCCATGAAATAATTTTAACATTCAAAATATACATAATACTTACTTTTCCCTTTTCATAACAAATGGGTATGTTGAACCTTTTCTTTTTCTCTTAACATATTTTTTTTCATTTTATAAAGTCAAAATTCTCAGTGTTTTCTATTATAGCTTCTTGGATTTATGTTTATCTTTTATTTCCTTGAATATACTAAACTTATTTACTTTCAACTTTGAGTCTGACAATGCCATTATTTAAATGCCCTATAGGTGTGTTTCTATTTTTTATTGTTTATCTCAATTCTCTTTGAAGAGTTTTGTACCTCATGTAACTGGTAAATAACTAGTAGAGACAAATGAAATAAAGAATAAAAACACAAAAGAGAGAACCAACAAAACAAAACCATAAGTTGGTTCTTAGACTAGAGCAACAAAATTAATAAATCTTTAGCTAGACTAATGAGAGAAAATGCAAATAACAGAAACTAGATATAAAAGTAGGATTTTACCACTGACCTAAAAGAATTATAAGAGAATATTATGAACAACTATATCTCAACAAATTAGAAACTTAGATGAAATGGATAAACTCCTAGAAATACACAAATTACCAAAATTGATGGAAGAAGAAATATAAAATCTGAACAGATTTAGAACATGTACAGACTGAGTCAGTATTAAAAAAAATACCTAATAAAGAGAAGTCGAAAACCAAGACACCTTTACTTATGACCCCTACTAAACATTTAAAAAAGAATTAGGGCCCTCCCTGGTGGCACAATGGGTTAAAGGCAGCACTATGAAGCTAATGGTAGCTGCTTTAGCACAAGTTTGGATCCCCTGCCAGGGAGCTGACCCACAAGGGACAGCAGACCTCTCCAGTCTCCCGCTGCTCCTCTCAGCAGTGCACTTCAGTCAGTCTGCCTGCCCTGCTCCCTACTCTGTCCCTGGTAAATCCTCTCACCCTCTGCATCTCTGGCCTGTACCTCAGTTCTCTATGAATAAATAAATCTTTTAAAAAAATTATGCTAATAATGGACCAGGAGAGAAAATAATACTAATGAACAGTCATACACCAGAGACATTTTGTGGGGGTGGAGTGGAGAATGGGATCAAAGGGGGTGGGGAGGGGAGTGCACAGAACTATGTGATGGCACATGGGTGACTGGGTGATGGGAAACCCATGGGGATTACAATTGAGATTGAAAAAAAAATGTACAAAATGATGTAAAAATAAACTATTATATTAAAAAAAAAAGATGATCCCAGGGTTGTTAAGGGGAAAAAAATTATGCTAAGCAAAAGAAGCCAGACACAACAGGCCACATATTATATACTCCATTTATATCAACTATCCAAAACAGACAAATCTTTCAGGACTGGAAGTAGCACAGAGGTTGCTGGGAGGTGGCATGGGGGCAAGGTAGAAAAGAATGGCAGTAGGTAAGGCTCTTCTTTTGGGACTAATAAAATGGTCTGGAATTAGATATTAGTGATGGTTGCACAATCTTGTGAATGTATGAAAAGCCACTGATTCATATAATTTAAAATGATAAATTCCATGGTATCTGAAGTATACTTCAAAAAAGAAAAATAAAATGCTTTAAGGCTATAGATGAGGTTTTTGTGCACCTGAGGAAACTTCCATTTAGTGGGCTAAACAAAACAGAAGGTAGTTCCCACTTAGTGTGAAACTTTTTCACAAGGGAATGCAATTCTACTATAGCCTTATTATTCATTCATTCAACATATAGTCACTGAGCACTTATTAAACACAAGAATCAGAAGAGCATCTGCATCCACTTGCCTGTTGTTGCTTGAAGGCCTCAAGAAGTAAATCAATATCATTATCAGTGACAGGAAATTGTAGCCGAGGACCATTATAGGAGTCTGGGACTTCTATCAACCCCACAAAGTCATGTCTATCCTTGATGTCTTGGATGGTTCTACCATATAATCGAGTCACGAATTCTGGAAAATGAAAGACAGAAAGAGGGAACGGAGGAGTCAACATTCCCATACTTAAATGTGATAAATATTTTCTTGAATATCTTACTGAGCTAAATGTTATGAATACCAAGATATCCCACACAGAGCCATGAAGAATGACTTGTTCTGAGACGGGGAGGTACATTCACATGAATCACCATCATCCCTTTCTTGGTGGACATTTTACCAAAGCAGTGACTTCATAATCAGTGGGGAAGGGAGGGAGAAGCATAGGGAAAAAATTAGTCAATCAAGGCATTTTGAAGCTCTGAAGCTCTAACTTTTTGTCTCAGATTTTTACAAATAAGTCTGAAAAATATAACAATGCATTGTGTTTGGTTCAATCATCTGCTACTATTCAGATCTAGAGAAAATTAAACTGAAACATTTGATTTCTCCCCTGTTAAACACTTCAAATTTTACTTAGTTGTAAATTATTTTTCTCTTCACATAAAAACAAGCTTTCTGGGCCCTCCCTGGTGGCACAGCGGGTTAAAGCACAGCACTGAGAATCTAAAGCCGCTTCCGCATGAGTTCGATCCCTGCCTGCCCCGGAGGAGATCCAAATGGCGCAGCAGACCTCTCCTGACCCGCCCGCTGCTCCCCTCAGCAGTGTACTTCGTCGATCTGCCTGTTCTGTTCCCCACTCTGTCTCTGGTGAATCCTCACACCCTCTGCATCTCTGGCCTGTACCCCAGTTCCATATGAATAAATAAATAAATCTTTAAAAAAACAAAACAAAACAAGCTTTCTGACGTGATTTTCTTTTTCTTCTTAGTAACAAAGCAGATAGATGACAAACCATAGGCAAAATTAGACAAAAGGCTCTCTCTCTCAGAGAGATATTTCTATGTAACAGATTGCCTGCATTACCCATTTCAGTAGATGCTGAGACCCAGTGTCTCCTTCTTGCTAGACTGCTCAGGAAAGAGCCCAAGAGGAGAAATCTGGCCAATTCAGGTGGAGAAAGATGAGAAGAGATATGGTAGATTTGTGGCTAAGTAACCACAACACTTTATCCCAAACTCTAAGACATTCTCTATTTAATGTGATTTTGCAGCTACTCTCAAGAGCCTATTTCCCCCCACCAAGAAGGCTGTGTTAGGTTCATGACTAGTGCTGACCTAAAATGTGGTGTAAGAGGCCTTGTACGCTTCCATGTTCTCCCTTTTGAAACCACGCCATTCTCATGAAGTGGAGCCAGACTAGCCTGCTGAAAGATCCGATGCCATGTGACACACCACAGAGTCACTGAGACTGCCCTAGAAGAGGCACCAGCCAACAGACCTTTAGTCACGTGAGTGAACTTCAGCCAAGGCTCAAAAATTCCTAAGCAAGACTGCAAAGATCAGCAGAAGTGCTCAGCTAATCTGTAGGCATGTGAGCAAAAAGGAATATTTATTACATACCGCTGAATATTTATTACATACCGCTGTGGTTGCTTAATAGACCGTATTATTGCAGTAACAGATAAGAGATACAGAGGACAATCACATGCCCTTTTCAACTTATTAACCTAAATGCTACTAGGGCAATTAATACAAATTCTCTGCAAGTAGTTTCTACCTTTTTGAATCTTTAGAGTGGACATGTTTGAATGGTATGATATTAACTGGTGAAGACAGAATATATTTCATTTTCAAGATCCAGTCAGGCTGAGAGATTGCAGTTAAGAACTAAATTTGAAAAACATTCTAAAGTGGGTCAATATATTTGGTCATTTAAAAATACTTCCTACATTATTGTGTATCCCCAATATTTTTTGGTGGTGGTTAGTCATGTTTCAAAAGAAGTTGAATTTAGGAGTAGTAATGTCGGTCTTCAGTGTGGTCCACCAGATGCTATTTCTCTCCTTTGGATTTGACTTGAGCTTTGAGAATAAGTTAACTATTTCACTTTATGTTTGAAAACTGAGGAAACTATGGTGACCACACCTGAAGGGAGAAATCCGATATGATGAAAAAATAAAAAAGAATGTTTTTTAAAAATATTAATGAAATAAAAGTAGGAATGTAAAGCCTCTTGGTAAATTTTACCTTAGATCCATTATGTAGGCAGTAAAGGCTAACTACTAACTGTAGTAATGGTCATACTGCTCATTTCTATTTGGTAACATTTTTAGAGATACATCTTGATCCAAATGAAAACTTTCCTCTTCCTAACTCTACAGACTAAATTATCAGGTTCACCTTGGAAAAGCAACACCACCAACAAAAACCAGTTGCAATTCCACTGTATCATCTCATAGTTGACTTACTGAGTATTCCCAAATCTATAAAGTAAAAAAAGAAGTGACTTTATTTTCCCAATCTTTGCCTTCACCCATGCTCTGTCAATTCTCCCATTCTCATCAGTCAATGGACACATCAAGTCAATTCCAGTTCTGGTTATTAAAACTCAATCCTGACTCAGGCCCAGTGGGCTATGGCGGAGGGTTATTGGTGATAGGCAGGGTATGGCAACATACATATAAAGAGGTATAACCCGATACCGCTAAATCATAGAAGGAGTTATGAGCCAATGTTACCTTAATTAAAAAATCACACAAATTTTGAAAAGTAAAAATATAAAATAAGAAACTTTTTTTTTAAAGTCTTGTCTAAGGACAAAATTAAAATACTAGTTTATTCTTTTAAGAGAAAGCTCAGTCTGTTCCTTCTTCCCCGTAATTGATGACCTTCATTCCTTCCAAGTTCAGTAATATGTGAAAAAGTGCCATTTCCTTAAACCAATCCTTAGGCAAAACCACTCAATATGAACTAGCAGTAAATATAAAATCCTAATACCTTCCACAGGGTTTTAGCCACATTAAAAAAAAAGAAAGAAAAAGATTCTCTTCCAGTAGCTATTGTGGGTTATATATGAAAACAATCAAAAGTGTTAACATTACAGCCTGTAAGTATACAGGCTTGTATACTTACAGGCTGTAACTGTTATACCAATAATAATTTAATGAATATCTATAATACATGAAGATTTGTGCAACATGTAATTAGAATTAATCCTTACCTATTTGATTTATCATCCTTTGAAATGAATCTAAACTAATTAAATATAATAAAATCTTGAATTACACCAAATGATACCTTAACAAATTGTTCTGAAGAAATCACTTCAAAAATACCCCCTACACACAGTCCTTTCTTTTACCTAGTACAGACTCAAAATCTGGACAGGGACAAATTTGAAGCCCATAATTAAAAAACACACACACACAATTTCTGCCTTTCCCACCCACATGTCACTTTGAAAACAAGCTCCAGATACTGCTGGAAAAAGAAAAGCATCAACTGAACCACATTTATGGTTATTTCGTTTCTCAATTATGGATCTGGATTAAAATCACAGGTGCCCTTATAATTAACTCAATATATGCCTAAGTGACATTTCATGCAACTCACACCTGTTCCTGATTTGTTTAAAACTCATAAAACTTGGAGGTATGCAAGGATACCTTCTTAACATGATTTTTAAAATTTAAGTCGACAGTAATGGTTTTTCCATTAAGGCATTTACAGAACATGGATGCCAACTTTCACTGATTCAGTTTAACTCTGTCCTGCTATCTCTAGTCAAGGCAATGAACAGGAAGTTGATTTTACACAACCCAAGAAACTTCCATCAAAACAAGAAGATATTCTACTCAGTGAAGATATCTGCACATTAGATAGCCATTAAGGGTTTAATATCCAAATTATACATAGAACTCATAAAACTAAAACACAACCGTGACGGGCAGAGGACCCAAATGTACTTCTTCGAAGACATACAGATGACAAATAGGCATAAGAAAAGATGTTTACTGTCTCTTATTATTTGAGAAATACATATCAAAACAACAATGAGAGATCACCCCTCAACTCTAAGGATGCTATTATCTAAAAGACAAAAAAAAAAGAAAGAAAGAAAGTATTGGAGGGGACATAGGGAGCGGGATACCTTATACACTGTTGGTGGGAATATAAATTGACGCAGCTATTATGGAGAGAGTACGGAGGTTCCTCAAAAAAAATTTACAACAGAAATTTCATGAGCCCCAGCTACCCCACTTCTGGATATTTACAAAAAAAAAAATACAGAACCAAATTTGAAGAGGAGTATGCACTGCCCCATATTTATGGCAGCACTAGCTGCAATAGTAGAAACAACCTAAGTGCCCATTCACTGACAAATGTATAAAGATGTGGTGTATATATAATGGAATACAGCTAAGCTATAAAAAAAGATAAAGTCCTTCCATTTGCAACAACATAGATAGACCTAGAAAAAAGTAAACTTATGAAATAAGTCAGGTAGAAAAAGACAACCACCATATGATTTCATTTGTATGTGGTACATAGAGAAAACAAATAAATGAACTAAATAAAACAAAGTAAAATTTTAGAGAAAGAGAAATATTAGTGGTTACAAGGGAAGGAAGGATGGGCAACTTGGGAAAAGGGGAGCAGTGATGTAGTGAAGGATAGAACTGAACTTTTAGCAGTAATGGACACCTGAAACTTAAGCAATATTACAATGTAATGTTACTTCAATAAAAACATAAAATAAAAACCATGAAACTGAAATGAAAGCATGATTGTTAGAAATAAAGATATTAAAATACAGTTACTTGTGGCCGGTGCAATTAAATATTTGTACTCAAGAAAATCAATGGAAACTCTCAGATTTGATGAGAATTAAAATAATCACACTGGTTTGAATCACAGCTTCACCACTAATGAGATGAATAACCTTGGGAGGTTACCTTTTGAATCTCAGTATTCTCATCTATAAAAATGGAGTGATGATAATATTAATCTCGCAGGTTTATCATAAAGGCTAAATAAATAATATATTTAATATCAAAAGCATTATTAGATACTATTAATAATCTTTGGGGAGATAAAATGAGGAAAATGTCCTATTCACCATAGCAACAAAAATATAAAATGCCTGGTCTGATGAGACAATTTGGCTGATCTCAGAAGCGCAAAGAAAAGCAAAACACTTCCACACTCCACCCAACTCTCCATTTCTACCAGTTTCTATTTAAACCTACTGATATGTATTACAGCTTGGACTTTCTGTCTGTGGGAGGAGGCTGAAGTGAAAAAGCAAACAGGGGACCGCTTATGTAGAGGCTTTCCATCAAGTCCCTTGAACTGGTCTGAGCACCTAAAGTATAGGATGTGGAGATGAACTGCCTCAAGGTCACATTTCACCTTCAAAATATGCCTCCATGCACTCTGCTTCAGAGTTAAAACCATTAATCTGGCCCTGATATCAGAAAAGGTTAAGTGACCCTCTGGTCCTCAACTACACTCTGCTTAGGAGACACAGCACTTCTGTGAAACAGACCTACGCAGAGGTTGTCTGGAACCCTCCCACCAAAGAGGGCTCTCAGCAAGCAGCTGACTGTCATTTACAGCACGGCGACTCTGGCTAGCGATATCCCCTTTTATATCTGAAAGTTGCTGAGAATAGATTTTAAAAATACTCATCACACACACACAATTGTAGCCATGTGAGAAGACAGATGTGTTAAAAAAAAAAAAAGCAAACTTACTGTAGTAATCATTTTGCAGTATACAAATATTATTATTATGCTGTACACCTTAAACTTACACAATGGTATATGTCAATTATATTCAGTAAAGCTAAGAAAATGTTTAAAGAAAACAACTACAGCAATAATCTGTAAATGCCTCTCTCTTACATATACTAATTAAATCAGTATGATTCTAGGATTCCATGATAGAGAAATGTATAAAAAGAAAACCCTGAAATATTATGAAATCATAGTGTAAAGATACATTATCAAATAATTGTTGTAGAAAAACTGTTTAGTTACTTGGAAATTTTCTTTTTTATTGTGTTTTTAAATTGCTCTTAACCAGTAGGCATTAATTTTTTTAGTTTAATATAAAAAAATTAAAATTTATGATATTAAAAAATTTTCATCAACACATTTTTGAAAAATCTCGAAATGCAGGTATAGTGATCCACATTTTAAATATTTTTGGGCCTTCTAAGTTTAAGAAAGAAAAAGCTAATTAGACTTGTAAAAAATATTTTAAATAATTAATGGAAGAACACTTCCTAATCTGATGAAAATATTACTTAGCTATTACAGAAACTCAGCAAACCCCACACAAGATAAATAAAAATGAAATTCCATCAAGGTATATTAGGCTAGTTTGTTTCTTCCCACCTCCTTCAGGTGGTTCACTTTTTACAATGTATATTTTATTTGTAAGCACTTAATTTTTTTTATTACTTTTTTTATTACAAAGTTTATTTTTACATCATTTTGCACATTTATTTTTTCCATCTCGATTGTAATTCCCGCGGGTTTCCCATCACCAAATCACCCCTGTGCCACCACCATAGTCCCGTGCTTTTCCCTCCCTTCCCCTCCCCCCCCGTTTTTGATCCCATT